CAGTTTTAGGTTTTTTGTTTGAAATGGTGCTCAGGCTGGACTGGCACATAGGATCCTTCTGCCCCAGCCTTCTCAGTGCTGGGATTACACGCAGGTACCATTACACCTGGCTTTTTTTTTTTTGTAGGTTGTGGTGCCTGGGCGCTGTCTCTCAGCTCTTCAGCTTCAAGGCTGGCGCTCTACCACTTGAGCCACAGCGCAGATCCTCAGATGTCAGCATCCTGAGTAGCTAGGATTATAGGCATGAGCCACCAGCACCCAGCCCACTTCCAGCTTTAGCTTCTGAGATGAGGTCATAAAAGCTTTTGTGCCTAGGCTGGTCTGGTGCTGTGGTTCTTCTAGTCTCAGCCTCCCAAATAGTTGGGATCATAGGCACATGGAACCATAGCCAGCTGTTGGTTGAGATGGGGGGGGGGTCTCATGAACTTTTTGCCTGGGCTAGGCTTGCATTGTGATCCTCCCTATCCCTGCCTCCTGAGTAGTAGGATGACACATGAGCAATGACACTTGTCTCAATTTTAGTTTTCAAAAAGATCAAATTTTTCTAACAATGTGTACTGTGCTTTTTCTAGCTGCCTCGTCAGCTTGAATGACTGTAGATGGTGGCTCAAGAGCTCAATCAAGGGGCAGGGAAGGTGGCTCCATGGTAGAGTGCTTGCCATGAGGCCCTGGGTTTGATTCCTCAGCACCACAAAAGCAGAAAAAACCGGAAGTGGCGCTGAGGCTCAAATGGTAGAGGGCTCGCCTTGAGCTGAAGAACTGAGGGACAGCGCCCAGGCCCAGAGTTCAAGCCCCACAACTGACCAAAAAAAAAAGAGCTCAATCAAGTACCTCAGGGTGAGCATGACATGTTTGTTCTGAGTCTTGCTGCCCACCTGAGTCCTTGTGACCTACCACCACCACCATGTCCCGGTGTAGGCAGCACCTGATGATGACAGGGAACAGGGTCCTGGGAGCAAGGGGGAGGGATTCGGGGTCTTCACCATGGAGGTACAAAGTCTTCACTTAGAAAACTGGCTCCCAGCTGGGAAGGTGGCTCAGTGGTAGAGTGCTTGCCTTGTATGCCAGAGGCCCTGGGTTCCATTCCTTCAGCGCCACATAAGCAAAAAGAAAAAAGCCGGAAGTGGCGCTGTGGCTCAAGTGGTAGAGCGTTAGCCTTGAGCTGAAGAGCTGAGGGACAGCGCCCAGGCCCAGAGTTCAAGCCCTATGACCGGACCCAAAAAAAGAAAGAAAGAAAGAAAACTGGCTCCCAAGCAGGGCGCTGGTGGCTCACACCTGTAATCCTAGCTACTCAAAGGCTGAGATCTGAAGACTGAGGTGGAAAAGCCTGTGGGACTCTTATTGCTAATTA